GCGACCGTGGACACATTACTCAACCCTGCTGAGCTTGAGTGTTCTCGTCTGTTAAATGGAGATAATGGAGGCTTCCTTGGGGAATTGTGTACCTGTGCAGTGCGTGGCAGAGCCAGGAGACCGCCAGTGCTGGGAATGTGTCAGCTTTTACTGTCTTGTGTGATCTTCACCACTGCCCTTCGGGAAGGTGGCACTGTCTCCGTATTACCGAAGGGGAACCCGAGGTTCAGAGCGTGGAGCTGTCTGTCCCTTTACACAGCCATGAAGTGGTGGAGCTGGGATCAGAAGCCAGGAGTCATAGCATGTGTGTCATTAAATACGTTCCTTAATCTCTTGGGGCCTCAATTGCTTTTGTGTAAAATGAGGACAATCCTGCCCTGTGCATGCGTATGTGGCCGTGTATATGGACCAGTCAGGTGAGAAAAGGGATGTGAAAGTGTGAGGTAAGCTGCAAATGCTATTTGCTGGCCACCCACCAGGCTGGGCTCATATATATTTATTGCTCATTGAAGCCCTTTAAAATGTGAGGTGTGTATAACGGTCCCACTTAGAGATGACGGTAAGACTTAAGGGGGGCAGGGATTTTGCCCATGGTCTCAGGTGGAGGATCTGCAATGGAGGCCTGGGTTGGTAGGCTTCTCTTCACTCTCCCCCATACCCCACTTGGCCTCCCCAGGGGTTGAGATGAGGAGGATCAATCCTTTTGGCCCTTGACCTTGGCTTTCTGATGGGCTGTGTTTTTCTTCCTTTGGGCTCGTTTGGAAAGTAAAGCTTGGAAGAAGGGCTTAGATTGGTTCTTGGGGACCTATCTTCCACTGCCACATGAAGGGGTCATGGGCACAGGGGCCATACCTGACCGAGCCTGCAACCAGAAGGGCTGTGGTATGCCTGGGCAGAAAGCAGACAGCTAGAAGGACAAGGTGAGCAGGAACCCTAACTTGCAGTCTCAGTAGCCTTGGGAAACAGTCTCTGAGCTCCCAGAAGCCCCCAACCTCTGGGTTTGGGGTGAAGGCTAGGGGACTGAGAGCCTACAGAGCAAATGGAGTCAGTGGTATGCTGCTGACACCTTGGGCCATGGCGTAGCACCGCACAGCTAAGCCTCGCTCAGCCCAAGAGCCCAACAGAATCTGGGACCTGGGGCTTCCTGGCAGCCCTCCTCTGCCTCCTCTGTGCCACTCCCTCAGGAGAGGGCGGCTGGCAAACGGAACACTGCCCAGGCTTGCTATCTCCAACGGAGGTTCAGCTTGAAAGCTGCATCCATTCATCATATCGAGCTCACGGAGCATTGCTAGATATGGGCACAGCACTCACTGGGGCGGTCAGGAGGAGGGGGTTAGACTGTCTCCAGGGACTTGGGGCCCAGAGCTACAGCTAGACGGCAACATCTTTAGAACAGCCTTCTTTCCCCACCGCCCTCCCCAGGGAGTCAGAGGCAGTGCACGAGTCACTGTGGCAGAGGGGAAGTCCTGGTTCCTGCCATTTATTAGCTTTGTGACTGCCTCTCTGTTTGGGTCAAGTTTCTCATGGGCCAAATGGGAATAGTAATTAATCCATGAGGGATCCACCTCACTGGACTGTTAGGGCACAAATAAAATTTCTATAGGCAGCAGTGGCTTGTAGCCCCCAATGCAATGCCGATGAAAGGAATGATGTCATGGCGAAACCCAGGCAGGCATCTGATGAACACCTGCCAGGTGCATGGTGCGAGTTACAGAAGTTAAGACCCAGTCCAGTTGGGGAGGGATAGTGCAGAGCAATACGAGCAAATTGCGGTAATGAATTGCTCATTTTATTTTCATTCTTTCTTAATACTCTCGCGAGGATATTCTTCCATTGATTTTTAGAGAGTGGAAGAGGGAGGGGAAAAAGTACGGTATCGATAGAGAGAAAAACATTGAAACACATTGATTGGTTGCCTCCTGCAGAGCCCGGATCAGGGCCCAGGCCGTGGAGGAGCTTGCAACTGAGATATGTGCCCTTGACCAGGATCGAACCAGGGACCCTTTGGTCTCCAGGCGGATGCTCTATCCACTGAGCCAAACCGGCGAGGGCGCCAGTTTTTAACCTGGGCTGCTAGAGACTGTTCTCAGTAAGTTCTTTTGGTTGCAGACTGCTTCAGGCCACCTTAAGGTAAGAGGGGTTTTCTGGAGGATGAGTGAAGCTCTCAGTCCTGAAGCATCCCCATGGCCACACTGTCAGCTCCCAGTCACTAGAAATTGGCTCATCTTCTCCTCACTATCAGGAGAAGCCACCTCAAGGCCTCAGTGCCATCATGCTTTGCAGGACAGGCTGACCTCAGTTTCATCTCCTGGCTCCTTTCTGGGCACCCTTCGAGGGTCAGCTCACAATGCAGGCCACTGATCATAGAAGGGAACTGAGGGTCAGAGAGGGCCAGGGCCTTGCCTGTTGTGGAAGGGATTCCTATATCAGACAGCCGTTTGATCAGATGCCTTTTGAGGTCCTCACTGATTAGACTAAAAGATACACCACTCTTCTGACTTTTAACAAATAGATAGCCTACAGCTCTTCGGGTGCATCCTGTGCATGAAGAAGACTCCCTGCAGTTAGAGAGCATGCGCTGTGCTGAGAGCTGGGTACAGCCAGACCAGTGTCTCCCTTCTCCCCACCTCCAGGGGGGTTCACCTCTATGGCCCTATTTCCTCAAAATTATTTCAGTTTAAGGTTTTAAAAATCAAAACAGAATCTTTCCATTGACATGTACATTTAAAGTAATGGTGGATTTTTATTTTTATTTTTTGTATATTTCTAAGAAAATCTTGCCAAATCAGTGGTGTAGCTTAAAATCAGTAGCGTCTTAGAATCCAGGAAATATGGTCGTTTGTTTTGTACCCCATTGAAATTCCGGTTTGCGGTCTGATGTTCGGGCTTTGAAACTGCCAAAGCTGTTATCTGTCATCAGTTAAAGAAAAAAAATAACAGAACTTGAATGTGCTCCCCTGTGGGTCTGCATTGAGCAAAGTGGGTATTTCTGAGGCCCTGCAACTAGAGCTTATCAACAAAGACAGACCTGAAGTGTCAAAACAGGCATGTGTTACCTGGGGATTCTTTGAAAGCTGGCAGTCTCAGGTGAACGCCTTGCCCTCTCTGAGCCTTAGTTTTCTCATCTGCTAAATGGAGAATCTGATCAGATACGATCCATAGCCATGACTGCCAGAACTTCTGGTTGACTGACTCAGTGTGGACACTCCCTTTCATTCAGTGATTAGGAGGCTCATCCTCTGACTGTATGGCTGAGTGTTTGTAGGTGGTGAAAGGCAGGTTGACTTGTGATGCGTGGTTCTCTGGTTTCCGCTCCCTAGGCGTTTGGAGTTGCAGGACCTGATCTGAAGGCGTGTTTTCTCTTCTCAAGGAGGGGAGTGTCCTCATGCCTTGATTCTGCCTCTAGGTGGTGAGTGGGTCAGAAGTTTAAGGCCAGGATGGCCAGTGTCAGTGTGTCCAGGGTGGCCAGGTTTGCCTCCGGCTGTCCTTCCCCAGCTGTTGAGCTCTGAGGCTCTTTGCAGGCGTGTGCAGCTCCCCAGAAAACTGGCACTGACGGAGAGGACCGGCCCTTCGGTGTCTCAGAGGCCTGGGCTGTGCCAGGGCTCCTCCCCCTGCTCTTGTAACCAGTAAAAGTCAGCAGTGCATTTCCTTCCGGCAGAGCGAGAATCAGATGAGGCCTGAGCCCAGCGTGGCCTCACCATGTCCTGTTCCTGAGAGCCTCCTCCCAGTCGCCCCAGTGCCTTCCCCCTGCTCCCCGTTCCGGGAGTTCAGGCAGCGCTGAGTGCAGGCTCTTGGCTGGGATCTGACTTGGGATTTGAATCTGGGTTTTTCCACTGATTTTCTGTTTCACTCTGAGCAAGACATCCTTTCTGGGTAGCTTACTTCTCAATATTGTCAAGGACTTTTTTTAATTGGGGGGGGGGGAAGCCCAAAAAGGAAATTTAAAAGATCTATAATCCATCACTTTAAAAATAACTTGAGTAAGAGAGTGTGTGTATTAAGAGGTATACATACACATTTTGTTGTTGTTTTACTGATATTGCTCTATTGGTTAAGTAGTAAAACATATGTAAATGCTCAGACTGCAAGGGCTCGTCTCCTCTTTCTCATTGCCCCTCCTGGAGACTCAGTGCTTAGAGGAAACGCACTCACTTAAAGTACCTCTGGCAAAGGCAGGGATTCCTTCACTTCCGCTCAGCTGCTTTGGTGCATGTCTCCCCGCCTGCCTGGGGCGGATCTCCATGCTAAGGTCTTCTCCCCACTGGGCACTCGGTGCCAGGGGGATGTTAATGCCATGAGGTCCAGGACTTTGGTCTGGTCACATGTGTGTTTCCCCACAGCCTGCCCAGATGCCCTGGCCCTAGCACAATGCCGACACAGCCGTGATAGCTGCTCAGTTGGTAGATGGGTGTACAAATACAGGTGGTATTTGTTGGGGCTTTGAAGTGTGTGTAGGATTTTGATTGGTAGAGACAACTTGGAGAGCGTTCCAGCAAAAGGCCTGGCATGAGCAAAGTTTGGGAGATGGGAGAGGGCCAGGGTGTAATTGGGGAAACTATGAGTAACTCGTTTTGCTGGAGTGAAGAGGTGAGTGTGTTATTTCTGTACTTGTTAGACTAGTTTTTTCATCCAACGCTGCACTTTGCAAGAAGGCCCTCTAAAGAGGCTTATTTATCAGGACGGATCTAGAACAGGAATGTTTTGCTTTGGTGCACAAATGCAGGCACTCCGGCCTCTGCCTGCGAAAGACATGGTGATCCTTGGCCCCTTGACACGTTGGGGGAGTAGGCACTGGAACCTGGCGTCTCTCTGGACTGTGCCTTCCAGGGAGGGGCAGCGTTTCCTCCCTTCTGTGTCAGGACATTCATGCGTTAGCCCCGAAGGGGACGCAGGGATGGAGGGAGGGGGAAGAAAGATTACTGACGACTGCTGGCTAGGGCCTAAGCCAAGGCCTTTGCTTCTCTTGGCACCTCTGACCGGCCCTGCCCTCTGCTCCACAGGCTGGAGGAAGTCCCTCTGGAGGTGCTGAGGCAGAGGGAGTCCAAGTGGCTGGACATGCTCAACAACTGGGACAAGTGGATGGCCAAGAAGCACAAAAAGGTGAGGGCCCCGCCGTGGGCTGTGGGCTGGGAGTCGGTAGCCGGGGGAGGAAGAGGGAGAAACTGTTAGCTTGGAGGAGCAGGGGCTTCTCCAGCTGCCGCTGCCTTAGGTGTGCCCCATCTGCCAGTCTGCAGTGGGAGCAGAAGCTGTGTGGAGGGCAGTGCCAGCCTTCACTTGGTCCTCCCACATGACTTCAGACTCATGCAGAGTTTGTCCTGGAATCAAACTTCAAAGCTGCTCTCAGCTAAAAGCCCCTATAGGCAGCCTTCCTCCGCACCCCCACCCCCCCGGGGGAGTCCTCACTGCTGCTTATGTCGGGGGAGTTCTCACTGCTGCTTATAATACTCATCATAGCTGACTTGTGGAATGTTTGCCGTGTGCTGGACACTTGACTTGGCTAATCCTTATAACTGTCCAGCGAGGTTGGTAGTAATGGTATCCCCATTTTACAGATGACCTGCAGAATTAAAAATTTGAACCCCGGTATCTAATACTTTTAGGGCCTACGCTCTTTATCACCACAATAAGGGGATTTCTTTACCCTCTAGGTTAATTTGGTGAGTTTCCTTTTGCCTCCTGGCCAAAGCAAAAGCGAAAATGCGGGTGGCCTTGTGTAGTCCGGCTATCTTTAGGCACCAACTCTATTGTCTGGCAGGGATGTCCTCCACTCTTATATGTGTATGTGTGTATTGCCCCATTGGCAGGTTCTAGTTTCTCCCTGGCCTAGTGGGGGTCTGTCCAGAGCCTCACAGCTGGGGTCTCTGCATAAGTTCCTAGTGCAGAGAGTGAGCCCCTGGCTCACTGTCATCAGCTGGCACTCTGGTGTGGTCCAGGCTGGCACAGCTAGCTGCAGGGCCTAGCAGAAAGCTCAAGATCAAAGGTCAGATACAGCTGGGGCCCAGCCCTGCTGCCTTCCTCTCTTTATGTCCAAGGTTAGCTGTGTCACTTCGCCCTCACAGCCTCAGTTTCACTTGTCAGTGGGAATGACAGCGCTGTTGCCAGGCTCTCCCAGGAGGTGGTGACTAAAGCCTTGCCCGGGGAAGAGAGCGCAGCGAGGCCTGGGCTCTTTCCTGCTGTTCTCTGTGGGCGTGAGGGCACTCATTTTTGGCTTATTATTAGAATGTCTTTCTCGCTTTCTCGTCTCTTTTAAAATTTTTATTTTTAAGGCAGGGGCTCCTCACCTGCCTCCATTCAGACTCTGGGGTCTGTGTTCCTGCCTCCTCACCCCTCAGGCTCTTACCTGAGCTTCAGCTCCTCCATTGTCTGTTGTGGCCACGAGTGGCTCTGACCTTCCTGCTGCAGCCTCCCTGCAAATGGGGATTCCAGAGGGCTGCCTGGGGAGTTCCTCTCAGCTGAGCCACCAGCAGCACTTCCTCTTCCCCTTTGCTTCCCTGACACTGTGGTTAGAGGCTGAGGGCTACCCTGCCCAGCAGAGGCCACCACAGGAGGCCTCACCCGCCCCTCCCCAGAGGCCCTAACCTTCTGCTCTACGCCTGCCCCTCAGCTGTGGCCCCAGGGGCCCTGGGCGGTTTGCCTGCCTGACTGTGCAGGCTTGGCTCTCCCTCATGGCACAGGAAGGGCAATACCTGTTTCCGGAAGTGTGTTAAGACCAGCACTTCTGGACTTACCGGAGTCCCCGGGAGGGGCCCCGGCCTGAGCTAGAATGCTGTCTGCGTGTGGCTCTGTCGGAGCACTGAGTTCACAGGCAGCGGTGGTCTCACACCACTCACAGCGGCTCCTTCCCGAGGCGTTGCTTCGGAGAATGAGAATCCCTTATCTCTCTGTTTACCCGAGCACTCTCCTCTGCTTTATCCTTACTGATCCCCATCGTTGCCTTCTTCCCTAAGGTACTGATCCCTGTGCTGAGGAGGATTCCAGAGGCCAGAACGGGGAAGGCTAGCTGAACTGCTGGGTCTCGCTCCCCAACCCTGAGCCTGAGCGAGGGCGTGGCCTCTGGGAGAACCTTAGCGGAGTAAAGGCGTTCGGGGGGCTTCTGGGGCAGACCACGTGTGACAGGGCTGTGGTGATGGGGGCCGGTTCAGCTGCTGACCCTGAGGGGAGCCTGAAGGCCCGTGACTCTGGGCTACACTACATCCCTTTGTCGAACTCTGCCCAGACCCAGTGGCTTCCGTGAGGAGACCCTTGTCCCACAGCAGCAGGAAACTTCCCAGAGTCCGGGGCAGTTCCCTTCCGCTCCCTCTCTCCCCACTTCCCAGAGCTGCCGTCTGGCTCCTGTGACCAGTTACTCTGCTCTCCCCCGGCTGCCCTCAGCCTCGGCCTCCTTCCTGGTTCTTGACTCTCTCTGACCCTTGGAAAGTTTCCTCTTGTTTGTGCTGGTCATCAGGAAGGCCCGGCTCCCTGCCTTCCCGCCTCTGAGGGTTTCAGGGGGATTGTTTGAGGGGGTTTCCAGGTGAGGGGAAGGTAGGTGTGGTCCCAAGGCCCTGAGCTCCTGGGATGAGGGGTGGAGAGGAAGACAGCGTTTATTGAAGACAGATTACTAGGCATGGTCCTCCCCCCATTCCTTTTTTTTTTTTTTTACGGAGAGCCAAACCCAGGCAAACAGCTGAACCCCAAGAGCCAAGTCTAGACCTAAAGAGCTGACCCTCGTCCTGAAGGGCGGAGCCTAGCCCCTAAGAGACTAGCCTAGCCTCAGAGTCCAGCCGAGCCCTGAAGAGCTGGAGCTGGTTTCCAACGGCTGAGCTTGGTTCCCAAGAGCCAAGCCTAACCCAGAAGATCCCCTCACCCCATTCTGATGGAATCCTAGGTAGTGTCATTCTGATATTAACCATCAGGGAAGCTGCCTCAGAGCCTCATTCAGCCCCGAGGCCAGTGAGGTCAAAAGTGCACGGGACTGGATCCCTCCTGCCTGGGTAGTGTAGCTAGGAGCTAGTGGGGTCCTCTATGGTGTGGACATGACCTTATTCTTCTTCCCACTCTTTGCCTCATTTTCCCCATTTGTGAAAGACATGATGGCTTTTCATCATATCCTTGTTTCCTGATAAAAATAGCTAGGATATGAATTGAGCACTAGCTCTGAGTCGCGTGCCACCCCAAACACTTCCTCTCTCACCTCTCTGGGTCTTGAGCGGTGCGGAGGACCTGGGCCATTTTAGACGCAGGCTAGCTGCCTCGGATCGAGGGAGCTCAGGGCCGGGGAGAGCAGAAGAGAGGCAGGGACTCTTGACCAAAACAAAGAGGAAGCCTTTGTGATGAGCTCCGATCTTCCTTCTAAGTTGTGCCGAGATCTCTCCTCTCCAGGCTGGCTGTGTCCTGCCACATGGCTACTTAAACACTCCCATGAAAGTGTCCCAGCCACATTCTCCACATTCTTGGTCATTTCATGAGCTGCCCTCCATGCGATTATGGCTGTTCCCCGCACTGTGCAGATCCTTCCTGCTCACATCCTGTGGGCGCCTCCAACTTGTATTGTTCCATTTTGATTCCGAAAATGATTAGAATTTGTGGTAGACCTCAGGAATACTGTCGCTGGCCTGGGGGATGTGAGGACTCTGCCATCACCTGGTGGCAGCACAGTTAATTGCAGCCCCCCCCCCCCCCCCCAATCATGGGATCTGCATTGTAGCAATAGTAGGAAAGTCCTCTTTTCTCCCCTTGCGATGTGCTCACTGAGGGCCTGCCATGCCCAGCAGAGGGGCTGGGCTGGCACAGAGCCTCTAGGGAGCTGCTGGGTGGATGCATTGGCATACGCCTCTTTTTCACTTTCAGATCCGTCTGCGGTGCCAGAAGGGCATCCCCCCTTCTCTGCGGGGCCGTGCTTGGCAGTACCTGTCCGGAGGCAAGGTGAAGCTACAGCAGAACCCTGGGAAGTTTGACGTGAGTTGCCTTTCCTCTACCCTGTCCTTCCTTCCTCATCTCTTGGCATATTCCCCGTGGCCGTGATCCTCCACGCCCAGACCTCAGCGCTGTGAACAGTGGCAGAACCACCCACCAAGTACTTGACTGCCCATTCCAGCTTTTTCTCTGGGCACTCACTCAGGTTTGCTTTCTTTGGCTCCGTGGGCCCCTCCTAGCTCTTGTTTATCAGGAAGGGACACTTAGACCAGGGCCCTGACTGCCTTGGGCAGTGTGCTTAGGGCCTTGGGGGTCTGCCCAGTAGGACTACAGAACCCTGAACACTTCCTGGCTCCCATCTTCCACTCTTTCTCTTGTCTCATCCAACACACCAGCAGCTGATGGTGGGAGGTCAGAGTTAGAGAGAGCAAAGAGAGGCGGATTCTTGACCAAAATAAAGAGGAAGACATTTTGATCAGCTCCAATCTTCCTTCTCCCTCTCTCTCTCTCTCTCTCTCTCTCTCTCTCTCTCTCTCACACACACACACACACACACACACACACACACACACATCACACTTTCCCTACAAGAGTTAGGATTGACAGCTCTGAGTCAACCTAGCTTTCAGGCCCAACGCAACTCCACCATTTTTCTAATGACAAAGCCTGGCAGATGGCTTTTCTCTGGCCCGCGGCTCTCCAATACTTGGAACAGTTGTGTCCTCCTAGCCATCAAACTCCTAACATATCCCCTTGACTTACTTCCAGGAGCTGGATATGTCCCCTGGGGACTCCAAGTGGCTGGACGTGATCGAGCGTGACCTGCACCGACAGTTCCCTTTCCACGAGATGTTTGTGTCCCGGGGAGGGCACGGGTAAGCAGGCTGGGTGTGGTAGTCTGGTGGTGGCTTTAGGCCCTGTCCCTCAGGAGCCACGGGAGGTAAAATGAGTTTGGGGGTGTTATGAGGCCCAGAAGCTAAAACTATACTTTTAGAATTTTCCTTCTTTGGTTTGGGTCTGATGGTCCTCTTAGCATCTCTTACCTCTGGGCAACTTTCATCATTTACTCCACAGAGTGTTAGAACTTGCCCGGTCTGATCATCCTCTGGAAACAGGTTTTAGCGGGGAGAAGGAGTGTTAGAGTAGGGTGAACAGGGGAATGTAGGGAGAGATGTGGCAGGCCAGGGGATGGAGACAGATACTGGGATAAAGGTGGGCTGGCTGAGGTGCCCCCTGCTTTCTCTGAGGCTCTGCTCTCACCTGTCAAGTGGGGCAGCCCTTTTCTTCCTCCGTCTTCTGGCCACGTGAGAGTCTGTGTGCTGCAGTGGGAGACTGACCCCTTTGTGACCACAACCAGGCCACGTCCCCGCTCCAGAGAAGTACAAATTCTGAGACAGGTCTGGTCTAGTGCGGCCCGGATGAGGGCAGTGGGGGCCAGAGTCACAGCTGTCATTCCTGCAATGCTTGGCATTTCTACAGTCAGCAGGACCTGTTCCGTGTGCTGAAGGCCTACACGCTGTACCGACCTGAGGAGGGCTACTGCCAGGCCCAGGCCCCCATTGCCGCTGTCCTGCTCATGCACATGCCTGCTGAGGTACCACCAGCCCCGGGCAGGCAAGGGGGGCGCAGGGAGCACCCAGCAGCAAGGCCTTATGTCTCTCTCACCCACAGCAAGCATTCTGGTGCCTGGTGCAGATCTGTGAGAAGTACCTTCCCGGCTACTACAGCGAGAAACTGGTGAGTGCTTGCTGGGCCCAGACCCTGTTTCCAAGCCTCTCTCTCCGCAGGCACTCCTGCCCTGCTTGAAACCTTCTCAGCCTTCTGTTGCTTTCAAGCTAAGTCCGCAGGCCTGCAAGGGCCAGTCTCCCAGGCTCCAGCACCATTGGTTCCACACTTGTTTCCATCTCAGCCTTCAGCTGTCTGGCCACTCCAGGGCGCCATGTGCCTCCCTGCCTTGACCTTGGCACAGGCTTAAACCTCTGTCCCTTTCCTTCCCTGCCTTCTTCTGATAACGCCCCCTTTCTGCCCTCAGGGAGCTTTCCTGGACCCTTAAAAGTGGGACTCTGGCACATGCTTACCCAGGGTTCCTGTTCCTGCCATATTCTAGGCACTCAGTCCCCTCCCACTCCCCTCGTCTGTTTGCTCCTGTGATTCATGTCTTCACTACGTGCTCACAAGGGGGACTGGCTGGCTGTTGGCTCATCGTATCCCAGAATCCACCTGAGGAATGAATGGATGCTTGCCTGGTCTGGGGCCTGGGTGTAGTCCTGCCCTGGCTGATGCTGGTCCATGGTCACGGTCTCACTGTTCCCGCAGGAGGCAATCCAGCTGGATGGGGAGATCCTCTTCTCGCTGCTGCAGAAGGTGTCGCCTGTGGCCCATAAGCACCTCAGCCGGCAGAAGATCGACCCCCTGCTCTACATGACAGAGTGGTTCATGTGTGCCTTCGCCCGCACCCTGCCCTGGAGCTCTGTGCTGCGCGTCTGGGACATGTTCTTCTGCGAAGGTACCAGCTTGCGCACTGGAGTGCAGCCCACAGGGGAGCTCTGTTTTCAGGAACTCCCTGACGGCCCTCTTGCACTCACTGCCTGCTCCCCCATACAGGAGTCAAGATCATCTTTCGGGTGGGCCTGGTGCTGCTGAAGCACGCGCTGGGATCCCCGGAGAAGCTCAAGGCCTGCCAGGGCCAGTACGAGACTATCGAGCGGCTGCGAAGCCTCAGCCCCAAGATCATGCAGGAGGCCTTCCTGGTCCAGGAGGTGCGGGCCACACCTTCCCCTCACCCCATGGTGCCAAGCTCAGTGCCCAGCAGTCAGCATGGGGTGGCAGATACCATCCTATCTGAATGAGAAGAGGCACAGGGAGGCCTATGTCTGGGGCCTTCCGTTCTGGACCTCTCGGGGATGAGGAGAGCTGAGCCCGTCACCTCTCTTCCTCTGGTACCACATCCACAGCTTGGCTTTCATTTCCCGTTTTCTTTCTTTTGTGGATTTCTCTCTCTCAGGGGCTGTAATTAGCTGACACGTAATTAGGCGAGTGGAGTCATGAGTTAGGGTTAGGGTTAGGGTTAGGGTTAGGGTTAGAGTGAGGGCAGCGGGTCTCAGGTGCCTGGCTCACCACCGCTAGGGGACTTGTGACCACCACAGGGGCCGGACCTTCATTCTTCCTATGGTCAGCCTTAGTGACCAGGACTGGGGGACTCTAAGGCAGAGGGGAAGGTTCTTCCTGGTGCCCACCTGCCTGTCACTGCCTCCGCAGGTGATCGAGTTGCCAGTGACGGAGCGCCAGATTGAGCGTGAGCACCTCATCCAACTGCGGCGCTGGCAGGAGACGCGTGGTGAACTGCAGTGCTGCTCGCCACCCAGACTGCATGGTGCCAAGGCCATCCTGGAGGCAGAACCAGGCCGGCCCACCCTGCAGCCATCACCGTCCATCCGTCTGCCCCCGGACGCCCCGCTCCCTGGCTCCAAAAGCAAGCCCAAGCCGCCCAAGCAGGTTCCGAAGGAGCAGCAGAAGCAGCAGAAGGCGAGTGGGCAGCTGGACAAGACCCCAACGCCAGGGCAAGCCAAGGTGGCGATTGCTGGCGGAGATGCATGTCCTCCACAGGAAGTGCCCCCAAAGGACCCAGTCCACCAGGACCCAGCCCCTCAGGACTCAGCTCCCCCGGTTTCAGCCCACCACTGCTCCCAGGAGAGCCTGGTGTCCCAGGAGAGTGAGGACACCTACTTGTAACCCTGGCATCTCAGGCCTCCAGGGCGGGGTCTCCACACACCTACGTGGTTCACGGACTGACACATTCCAGACTGCCCCCCTCTGAGGGTCCGGCTGCCTGGCCACTGGGTGCAGAGACTGGCTGGCCCAGGGCAGGCTCTGCCTGAGCCTCCTTATTTATTTTCTCCAGAGTGGAGCTCGGGCCGAGCCCCTGGGGCAGGCGGAAGTGAGGGCCTCACTCGCCTCTTCTGGGGGGACGCTCCCAGGGCCAGGGCACTGATGAGGGCAGAGGGTGGGGTGCCGGGTGGGGGACTCTGTGTAAAATAGAAACATGGTTTTGTACAGAAATAAACAGGTTTATATAGAGAGCTGGTGTGCAGCTAAGCGCTGGGCAAGGGGGTGCCACCACCCCTGGTGCTCAGCATCTCTCCCACTTCCTACAGAGCTCTCATCCTGGCCTCGGCACCAGAGCTCTCTGAGGAGTACCTTATCAGAGGGGAGGCCGAGTCCAGGGCCAGCCCCGTTCCTGGTCCCCCTTTCCCTTACTCCGTCCCCCAGAGCCTTGTCCACCATCTTCCATGGATGGGAGTCACCAGGGCTGGAGCCCAGTGCTAAGGCAGAGCGGGCATACTCCCCAGGCCTTGATTCCTGCTCATCACTGATGGGGTGGGATCCCTAAGATAGATCGATCCTTTTGGGGTATTCTCCTTAAGGCCTGGCCTGGATGCTACTTTGGACCTGAATAAGGTTTTTTTTTTTTTTTATTTGGGGGAGAGAAGTATTTTGTTGTTCCACTTATTTATGCATTAATTGGTTGATTCTTGTATGTGCCCCAACTGGGGATGGAAACCGTAATCTTGGTGTATTGGGCCGCCACTCTAACCAGCTGAGAAAGGTTGAGTGCTCATTCCCGGCTGGGTGCTGGCACCATGGGTGGGAGACCATGACTGCCTTACACTTACAACCAGGTTTCCATGGAGAGGAGGGGAGAAGGCTGGGTCTTTGATAAAAGGCCACCTGTCGCTTACTGAGCATTTAGCATGGTCCACGCTGGGTTGGTTGCATCACCAGCTAATCATCAGGTAGGCTCTGTTATCTCCATTTGACAGATGAGGCAACAGAGAGCCGAGTGAGAGGTGAGCTGGTCCCAGCTTGCACCCAGAGCCCCTCAGCTACCCCTCCTGGCCATGGAGGGCCAGGCCGGCTCTGCGGTCACAGCCTGGTGACTGCTGAGGTTACGGACAGGGTGTCCCTGGGAGAGGCCCCCCTTCTGCTGAGGAAGCAGCTTTTCCAGTCAAACAATAGCGGTTGTTCTTGGCAGGCCACCAGGCGAGGCTGGGCCACGGAGGGAGGGGGCGCGCGAGGGAGGAGTGCAGCCTCCCTGGGAGCTTTCAGGCACCTCGGGGCTTTGGTCCGGAACATCTTGTTCTGGTACAGCTGGGTATACTGAGGCCTGGGAGGTCAAGGTTCACCTGGGCCTGTCAGGGCAGGCTATCACTTCCTGCTTTCCAGCCCTCACACCTGTGGCTTTTCCCACCCGTGCTGCACCACTGGTGAGGAGAGGGGTTCAGCCTTTGAGGACGGTCCCCTCCCCCTGACCCTCTAGGGAGCAGGCCAGGATGTGGTGGCTGCACAGTGTTCCACAGGAACCCACTGAGCCGGGGAGTCCGGGGAGGGAAGGCACCGCGCCGCCTCCACCCGCCCGCAGTGGAGGCTCCCAGGCAGGCAGGAGGCCTGTGTAGGCCTGCTTTAACCTGCTTGGTTCAAAGCCTCACATCTGAGGCCTGAAGATGCTAGAGCCAGACAAGGCCCCTCTCTCCCCCAGAGCATGCTTAGCCCTGCTACTGGGCCAGCTTGGGTGGGCTGCTGCCTGCTCAGCCTTGGGGTCTTCTTAAACCCCAGGAGGCCTGAGCAGAACCCAGTCCTGATGTCAACGTGAGCTCACGTTTGTCCTAACAAGCCTCAGATCTGGGGCATCTGCCAGTGCTGGGGGCCTCCGTGGGCACAAAGCAAGTTTAGATATGCTCAGGCCACGGGGTTTTGTCCAATAGCTGCTGGCTTTGGGAGGCTCAGCAAGGCTCAAGCCTCAGGTCTGAGAACACTGCCCAGGGAGCCCGATGCCTGGGCCTGTCCTCTGAAGTCCGAGCCTTGGGCATTGCTGGCCTCAGTCCTGAGGGGCCTCCTTACCCCCGGCTGCCTTCAGCACCCTCCCCAGCAGTGTGGCAGGGGTGGATGGGGCCCTTACACTCTGTGACTCTGGTGGGGAGGCGGATCCCACCAGAGGAAGGAGGAAGAATGCTTTGTTGGGAGAGAGAATCCTAGGGCTGCAGAGTGGACCCCTAGCCCTCCACGCTTCAGGGTTGTGGAGGCAGCGCCTCAATGACCTCAACCATAAGACCCGCATGAGGGCCCGAAGGACAGAGAGAACTCCACGTTTCCTGCAAGCGTCCCACCCAGGATCCACCCGCATCTTGCAGAGAGGGTGGAGCTCCGGGGAGAGGCGCGGTCTGGGCGGGGTCTGAAGGACGACGGGGCGGGGCCAGCTGGCGATCCCTGAGCCAATGCTAACGGGACGGGGGCGGGGCTCTGGTGGCAGAAGGGGGCGTGGCCGCCTCTGATAGGCCGCGCGCATCGCGGGGCGGGGCCGGCGGGGCGGGGCGCGGCGCGGGGCTGGGCGGGGCCGAGGCCTGGTGGCTGGCGCGGACTGGCGTGAGCGGCGGCTCCTTTAAGCCCCCGGGCCCGCCCCCCGGCCCTCGGCGTGGCCGGAGTCTGGCCGCGGAGGGCTCGGGTCCGCGCGCGGGGGACCGCGATGGAGCTGCACATCCTGGAGCACCGCGTGCGGGTGCTGAGCCTCGCCCGCTCCGGCCTCTGGCTCTACACCCACCCGCTCATCAAGCTGCTCTTCCTGCCCCGCCGGAGCCGGTGCGCGCGCGGGTTCGGGGCCGCAGAGGAGGGTGGGCTCCACCAGCGCCCCGGGACGGGGACGGGGTCGGGAGGGTAGAGTGGCCGCGGGGTTGGCGAGGCCGGGCGGGGAGGGCCCATCCCTCTACCTCCTCCCCCACCGCGGCCGCCATCCGGCCTGGCTGCACCCTCCCGGACCGCCGCCTATCCGGGCCGGTGCAGTGCCAGCAGCCTGCGGTGGGCGATGCGTAACTCCTGTAACTCCGCTGGAATCGCATGCGGGTGCCCGTCCCTTCCCGGGGCTGCCGGAGCTTCTCCCGGCGCCTCCCGTCGGGGCCGAGGGGCAAGTCCGGGCGATTCCAGGTCCGACGCCCCGGGGGCCGAGGACGCGCGTGCGGGTCAGCCTCTCCTCCCCCCCCCCCCCCCCCGGAACGGAGGGGCGGGGCGGGGCTCCCCCGGAGGTGGGAGGCGGGAAACAGCCCGCGTTCCCGAGATGGGGCCCATTCCCCCCACTGGGAGGAAACTGAGGCTTGGGAGGGGACGGAGGCGCCTGGCTAAGGGGTTTCAGGGGCGGATGGAGCCGTCTGCACCCCCCTCCTCCCAGCCCGGGCTGAAGGTGCCTCCCGCCCCCATCCAGGTGCAAGTTCTTCAGCCTCACGGAGACGCCCGAGGACTACACGCTCATGGTGGACGAGGAGGGCTTCAAAGGTGGGGGCTGGGCCAGGGAGGGCCGTCGTGCTTCCCTCCTGGCGGGGTCCTCACTCGATGTCGGGGTCCAGGGACAATGTTAGGGTCCAGTGGCTCAGAGCCCAGGCTTTGCAGCCAGAGGCAATCTGGCTTCAGTTCGGACTCCGCCGCGCACTGGCGGTGTGCCCTTGAGCAAGTCATTTCCCCTCGCCCGCGGAGCTGTTTGTTTCCTCTTATTTCAAAGGGGTGCAGTTAGTTCATGGTCCTGGTCTAACGGGGTCCCGTGAGGGTTTTGCAAACGGGCTGCTGCGTGCGAAGGGCGCTTAGCAGCGCCAGCCTGGTCACGGGGCCTCCATGAGGCTTGCCGGCAAGATTCGGGGGGTTCCTGTGGCTGCTCCATCCCCCCCGGCCGTTATTTCCGCCTGGACTTCTCTCCCCGGGGCTGGCCATCCGTCCCCTCCCAGACTCCCTGGGAACTCCGGAGTCTGAGGGCCGGGGAGGGCCTGGATCCAGGCAGGGAGCAGGCACCCGGCCCAGGGCAGGGTCCTGGGGGCCGGGGGAGAGTGGGGGAAAGGGACCGTCTCGCTGTGCTTGGGCAATGATAGCAAGCCACCCTGGCCCCGGCTCTTAGTCTGGACTGGACGCCAGGCTGGGCACTGCCTGGCCTCTGGAGCTGACGTCTGGCTCCCGCTCCTACCCCCATCTGCCTGACCTCTCCTCGCAGGCCTGGAGCTCAGGCCAGCCAAATGGGGCTTGACCCATCTCCCACTGCTCGGCTGCGGGCCTTAGTTTCCCTGTTGGTGCTGCAACCACGTCTGGGCCCGCTGAGAGGGAAGGGCATCATCCCTCAGCCATCCTGATCTCCTGGCGCCCCCTCCTGGCGCCCCTCGGTACAACCCCCCCCCCCATAACCCACAGAACACCGTCAACCAAGTACGCACCGTCATCCCCTTTTACAGATGAGCAAACTGAGGCTCAGAGCAGGTAAAGTGCTTTGCACCAGGGTCAGCAGCACGTACATGGCGAGGCCAAGGCACAGGCAGGGGGGGGGAAGGAGAGGCCGGGCCCGCAGGCCCTGACCGGGTCCCGTGCCCTCTGCCCGCAGAGCTGCCCGCCTCGGAGTTCCTGCAGGTGGCCGAGGCCACGTGGCTGGTGCTGAACGTGTCGTCCCCCAGCGGCGCCGCCGTGCAGGCCGCCGGCGTCACCAAGATCGCCCGCTCCGTCATCGCCCCGCTGGCCGAGCACCACGTGTCCGTGCTGATGCTGTCCACCTACCAGACGGACTTCATCCTGGTGAGCTGCCCGCGGGGGCGCCCACACGTGCAGGCGAGGCTGGGAGTGGCTGCCCGGGGACCCTCGTGCGACCCGGGGACCCTCGTGCGACCCGGGGACCCTCGTGCGACCCATCTCCCGTGGCCCAGGTGCGGGAGCAGGACCTGTCCGTGGTGATCCACACGCTGGCCCAGGAGTTTGACATTTACCGCGAGGTGGGCGGCGAGCCGGTGCCCGTGGCCAGGGACGATGCCAGCAATGGCTTCCCGCGGGCTCAGCACGGTGAGGCCCCCTCCGGCACCCAGACCTGGGGGTGGGGGAGGGGGCGGGCCCCCCTTCCCCCGGGCCGGGGAAGCCAAGGCAGATGGGTGTCTAAGACAGGATGCTACACGCCACCCAGGCCCCTCCCTGGCCAGCCACCAGGGGGCGCTCCAGCCCACGGTCCTGCTTTCACTCTCTCCACCTCCTGGTTCCCCCCGCCCCAGCAGGGCCCAACCCCACGGTGCATCCTGTCCAGAGCCCGCAGAACCGCTTCTGTGTCCTCACGCTGGACCCCGAGACTCTGCCGGCCATCGCCACCACCCTCATCGACGTCCTCTTCTACTCACACAGGTGGGCCCCCGCGTCCAGCCTCTGCCCTGCCCCCCCGCCAGCTGCCCCTCCGCTGGTTCTGCCCTCCGTGCCCTCCACTGGTGTGTGGGACAGGTCCCAGCGCTTCCGCTGGAGCCCTCTCCTGGGGAGTGGGCGGAGCCTTCGGAACAGACAGGGTTCAAGGTCCTCCCCCACCCCCACCCCTACCCCCACTGGCACCATCAGGAGATCGGGGTCCTGCTGAAACCGGTGTGGCTCAGTGGGTAGAGGGTCGGCCTGCGGACTGAAGGGTCCCAGGTTCGATTCCGGTCAAGGGCTTGTGCATTGGTTGCGGGCACATCCCCAGTAGGGGGTGTGCAGGAGGCAGCTGATCGATGACTCTCTCTCATCGATGTTTCTAACTCTCTGTCCCTCTCTCTTCCTCTCTGTAAAAATCAATGAAATATATATATTTTTTAAAAAGATCGGGGTACTAGGACAGGGAAGGAAAGTGGCCCAGAGACAAGGGGGCGGGGGGGGGCGGGGCAGGGCTCAGGGGTCTCGGGACTGCCTGGAGGGAGGCGGGTGGGCCTGGCACCCAGCAGCGTCCCTGAGCCCCTGTCCCCCCCCCCCAGCGCCCCCAAGGAGGCAGCCCCTGGCGATCCCGGGCCCAGCTCCATCACGTTCTTCGCCTTCTCCCTCATCGAGGGCTACATCTCCATCGTCATGGACGCGGAGACGCAGAAAAAGTACGTGGCCCCGGCCGAGGGGGGGCCGCGGGCGCTGAGCCCGGCCCCGAGGGGAGGAGGAGGAGGAGGTGTGAAGCTCTGGGGTCACCAGTCGCTCCTGCCTCCCCAGGTTCCCCAGCGACCTGCTGCTGACCAGCTCCTCGGGGGAGCTGTGGAGGATGGTGCGCATCGGGGGGCAGCCGCTGGGCTTCGGTGAGGCCGCGCCCGGTGCCCGGGGGGCTTGGGGAGGGCCCGCGGGGCGGCGGGGTGATCCCCACGGACCCCTCTCCGTCCCCAGATGAGTGCGGGATCGTAGCCCAGATCGCGGGCCCCCTGGCCGAGGCCGACATCTCTGCCTACTACATCAGCACCTTCAACTTCGACCACGCCCTGGTGAGCCCCGCGGGGTGGGGCGGGCTCCCGAAGGGAAACCGAGGCCCAGGAGGGGGGCCCTGACCCTGCCTCCCCCGCCCTGCCCGCAGGTGCCCGAGGACGGCATCGGCAGCGTCATCGGCCTCCTCCAGCGACGGCAGGAGGGCCTGGGCTCCTGAGCCCCGGGGTGGGGACCGCGGCCCCGGGCCCCCCCCCCCCCAGCTCCCCAGGGACTTCTCTAAGCTATGTCCCCGAGCTCTGGGGCGAGCCCACTCCCCTCTCCTCCCGCCCCCACTCCCCTCTCCGTATAAGCTGCGTGCAGGCACCGGCTCTCCCGTGGACACGCGTGTCTGCCCACACGGAACACGGTGCTCTGGGCCCTCCCCGCCCCGGGAAGCCCTCCACCCATCCCTCCCCCCCCAGCCTCGGCGTTTGCACATTCCCTGCCTGAGGCTGCGCCACCCCCTCTCACACCCAGGCCGGCGGCCACCACCCCTCCCCAGACAGGGCCCCGGCCTCGCTCTGCGCCTGGTGGGGCTGCCTTCCCGTCCAGGCGGGCTCCGGCAGTGCCTTCCCCTCCGGGGCCTCCGAGAAAAGTGTTTCTACGTCTCTCCGCTCTTTATTATTTTTTTTTTTGGACCAGCTTGTTAATAAAGGGCTGGTGTGTCCAGGCGGGCTGTGGTCTTCGGGGTTGTCTGAGCCTCGGGCACGGCTGCTCGGCTGCTCCTCGGGCCCCCGCCTGCGGTGCTGGTTCCCCGTGTGCCATCCCATGGTGGCTGCAGAGCCAGAGCCCCAGGAGGCCGAGTGACTTAGCCCAGGTCATGTGGTTCCCACCCAGCGCCGCCTGGCCCCGAAGTCTGGCCGCCTCCTTCCTTCCTTGCTGCTCCCAGAAGGTCCTGGACACAGGGAGACACTCCGAGGCCTCCTGCCTGGCGACTCCCCAGCATTCCCTCCACCCCGGGCAGGGCTGGCCGGCGGCGACACCCCACGGAGGGCCCAGGGGCCCCCTTTGCTCCAGGCTGCTGCCTGCTTGCAGTTGGACCACACCTAAGTCTGTCTGTCTGTCTGTCTTTCCTTCCCAGGAGGCCCTGTGGCCAGGAGATCAGTCAGTTCCTGCCACCAGGGCTGTCCTGGCACCGAGCGGGGAGGGGGCTGTCCCCAGGAGGGCAGGATGCCTGGAGGGCCATCTGGAGCCCACTCTGTTCTTTTTTAAAATATATATGTCTATCTCACCCTAACTGGTTTAGCTCAGTGGATAGAGCGTCGGCCTGTGGACTCGAGGGTCCCAGGTTCAATTCCAGTCAAGGGCATGTCCCTTGGTTGCGGGCACATCCCCAGTAGGGGAGTGTGCAGGAGGAGGCACTGATGGATGTTTCTCTCTCATCGATGTTTCTGACTCTATCCCTCTCAAAAGTCAATAAAATATATATTTTAAAAGCATGTATCTTTTTTGCCGGGACCGGTTTGGCTCAGTGGATAGAGCGTCGGCCTGCGGACTGAAAGGTCTTGGGTTCGATTCCGGTCAAGGGCATGTACCTTGGTTGCGGGCACATCCCCAGTAGGGGGTGTGCAAGAGGCAGCTGATCGATGATTCTCTCTCATCGAAGTTTCTAACTCTCTATCCCTCTCCCTCTCTGTAAAAAATCAATAAAATATATTTCTTAAAAAATAAATAAAATAAAAGCATGTATCTTTTTATTGGTTTCAGAGAAGGGAGAGAGAGAAACATCAATGATGCAAGAGAATCAATGATCGGCTGCCTCCTGCACGCCCTCAACTGGCGATCAGGCCTGCAGTCTGGGCACGTGTCCTTGCCCGGCATCGAACCTGGGACCCCCTCTGTCCACCGGTCCACGCGCTATCCACTGAGCCACACCAGCCAGGGCCCTCTCTGCTCTCGATGGCTACACGCCTGGACCAGAGGCTCAGTCAGCACATCTGGCCCCAAGTTTCCTGTCGCAGAGGGGCCGCCTCCCCCCCAGCGGGGAGCCGGGCTTCCACTGTAGCCTGCTGGGGCCCCTCAGATGCGACTGGAGGTTATCAGGTGCCCTCAGCCCAGGCCCGCCCCACGCAGGAAGGGAAGAAGGGTGTGACTTCGCCGTACTCCGCTTGCGGTGGCTCCCCAGAAAAGTCAGAACGGGGGCCCGGCCCCTGGCAGTGCGCCCGCCCTGGCCCTGGGGACCTGGGGGCCTGGGGGCCTTCGGACCAGAGTTGCTGAGACGCAGCCAGGCCTGGTGAGTGAGCAGCCAGGGGCCCTGGGCCAGGCATTGGCCCTGGGCCTCGGTTTCCCCAAGTGCATGGAGACGGGTCGGCGCCTTCAGGACCCTGTGCCCCATGGCCCTGGGTTGGGGGCGTCTCTATGGTTTGTCTTTCGTGGGGGAGGAGGGGGTAGGTGGGTCCCATTTCTCCTTGTAGGGCCCGTCCGAGACCTTGCCGGGCTCCAGCAATGCCCTGGGCCGAATGACCAGGGCTCCTTCACGTGCGGCCGGAGAGCTGCTGGCCCCGCAGTCGGCTCCGGGGTCCCTCCGCCTGTCTGTCTGTCCCCCCGAGGCCCTGCTTGGTCTCAGCGCTTCTGTCATCCTGGCTCCCCCGGTGCCTAGACCCCAATGTCGCTTAGTTCCTGGAGCTGCCCGCGGGGCTGGCCTGCCTCGGACCCGGGCCTTCAGGTCGGCCTGCCCACGTGTGTCTCTTCACACGGGTGTCTGAGTGGGGGGTTCTCGGCTCCCAGGGCGTCCTTGCGGGTCACGGGGCCAGCTCTCGGTCAGCATCTGCCCTGGGAGACCGAGACCCACGGGGGCAGACATACGGGCCCCGGAGGTCCCCGGGGACACTTGGCTGAGAAGGGGCACTTCCCAGGGGTCTGACCCTGGACCACCCACTGCTGATGCCCAGATGTTGTGTCATCACAGAGACCTGGAGCCGTCCCGGGCTGAGGAGGGGGCTCACGGAACCCCGTCCTTGTCCCACCCCGGGCCCTGGAGGGTTTTAGGGAAAAGCAGTGAGTCTGTGGGCTCAGTTGGGGTCATTCATGATCGGGTTTGAGGGGGCTTGCTGGCATGTCGCCCCCATCCCTGTCCTCGCAGCCCCGGGAGCCCCCGTGCCCCTGCCCATCAGCCCAGCCCCGGCCGGCCGAGGGTCCAGGCCCAGGCTGTGGCGTCCGTGCTGGTCGTCATAAGGGTGGCCCCTGGGCCCGGGCGGGCCCTGCCCGCGGTGCCTGGGGAGACGGAAGGTCCCTGGTGTCCAGCCGGCCGCCAGCCTGTGTCTGGCCTCAGCGGGGAGGATGTGAGCCGGGGCGGGGGCTCCTGTGGGCGGGGACGGAGACGAGGAAACCCCAGCAGGGAGCGCTGGCGGCCCACTCCCACCCTCTCCTCTGATGCTCAGGCCCGCACAGAGGAGTGACCCCGTACGGCCTCCTCAAAGGTGTTTAAGCAGAAACGCGGGGTTTCCAGGCCTCACACCCCCCCCCCCCCGCCCGCCAGGCAGGGCTGCGTGGTGGCTCCACCGCTGGGTTCTTGGCTCCGCGTGGAGGGGAGACTGAACGGCACCCCTTGTTCCTGCTCCCCCGGCCCTGGGGTCTCCCGAGGGGGAGGGGATGCAGGAGGGGGGAGCAGCTTGCACCTCGAGGACTGAGCATGGGGCTGCTGCTGCCCCGTCTCCACGTGGGGGACTCCATCCATTCGTGGATTCAACACATGCTCTTTTTTTTTTTTTTTTTTAATATATTTTATTGATTTTTCACAGAGAGGATGAGAGAGGGATAGAGTTAGAAACATCCATGAGAGAGAATCATCCATCAGCTGCCTCTTGCATTCCCCCCACTGGGGATGTGCCCGCAACGGAGGTACATGCCCTTGACTGGAATCGAACCCGGGACCTTTCAGTCCGCAGGCCGACGCTCTATCCATTGAGCCAAACCGGTTTCAGCCCAACACATGCTCTTTATCCCCCTTAGCCCAGGGTGGGGGATGAAGCACAGAGAGGCGAAGCGACCTGCCCCAGGCCACACAGCGGGCCCGGCAGAAGGGAAGGCACAGAAGCAGGAACCCGGGGAGTTTCCCCCCTGGGGCCGGGGCCCTCTTGCTGAACCCTGAGGGACGGGGCGATTTTGCAAGCTCCCTCGCAATCCCAGCTGTCTGCGTGGGTGGCCGGGTGTCTGCTGCCGGTGGCAACGCGTGCGTGGGCAGGCACGCGAGGCCTGGCCGGCTGCTCCCTGACCCCGGCCCGGCGGACGGGCGTGTTGGGTAACGACCCTGATTGCTGTCGCTTTCCCAGGCCAGCCCGGGGCCGGGCTGCCAGCGCCGGGGCTGTCTCCGGGGGGCCGAGTGGGAGCAGGAGCCTCGGTGGGCATCGGTCTGGACAACTCCTTCGGCGGGAAGCGCGTGCGTGTCCGTGTGTCCGCGTGTCCGTGTCTCCCACTGTGTGTCTGTGTGGGAGGAGGTCTGTGTGTGGGAGCTGTCCCTGCATCTGATGGTGTGTGAGCGTCAGCTGTGCCTGGCTCTGCGTGTGTCGTGTGTGTGTGTGTGTGGGGGGGGGGGGTGTGTGTGGCTGGAGTGTGCATATGTGCCTGTGTGTATAGGTGAGCGTATGTGGTACATATTTCTGTGTGTCTGCTTTTGACTGTGTCCGAGGAAGTGTGTGTGTGTGTGTGTGTGTGTGCATGTATGTGCATCTGCATTTTTTGTGTTTTCACCTGTCACACATGTGCCCATGTGTACCCTACTGTCCACTTTCCTTTCCTGTATCTGTATGCCCTCTGGCCTTCCTGCCTCTCTCGGATCCCTGAAGGCCCAGCTCCTGCAGTCACCCGGGGAGACCTGGGCCGGGCTGGGCCCCCCGCTCCCCTCCCCTCCTCCCCCCTTCCCTCTCCCCGCCAGCCCACTGCTCCAGCCCCATCCTCCCCGTCTCCCTCCTACCGCCCCGCCCACTCCTCCCTGCCTTCTCCTCTGCTGCCCCGCTGGGCACGAGCCTCCGCCTGGACACCCCTCTTCCCAAGGCCCTGACTCAGCCCCGTGGGTCCTCACCGGTGTGGCTGCCCCCGCCTTCCTGCTGGCCTCCCCCTCATCTGGCCGCACAAGCACATCATCCCCAGCACAGCCCCGGCCTGGCCCCTCCTTCCCCGATCAGCCTTCAGGACGACGGTCTGTGAGCCCCCAGCCTGCCCCCTCTCCGGGGCCCGGCC